CACACACACACACACACACAGACACACACAGAACATTGCCCCACCTTCCCATCTGGCACGCTGCTATAGCCACTGAAGTGCAGGGGTCCGGGCACGGTGGGCCTGGAGCTGGTGGGGAGGCGGGGCTCCAGGCAGTTGGTCAGGCAGAGGGGCAGGCCAGCCCAGCCGCACATCAGGATGTAGACGGCGGAGAAGACCAAGGAGCACAGCACGAAGAGCAGCAGGCGACTCTGAGGGGACAGCCATCATTGGTGTGGGGTGTGTGTGTGTGTGTTGTGTGTATAGGGGAGCCTGGTCTCTGGGGAGCCTGGACCTCAGGGCTCCAGACCCCTGCTCAGCAGCTCCTGGACCCCAGCAGAATCCACGGCCTCCGTTTACCAGGCCTTACTCTGGGCTGCCCACCGTCCGGGTGCAGGAGGAGGTGCTGGCCAACAGTTCTCTGGCCATCCCAGCACCCTGGAGCAGAAACCCCACGTGGGGTGACCTGTGTGGCTCGAAGCCACATGGCAAGGAAGTGGTGGCGACGGGGCCTCAACCCCAGCTGCAGAGCCCAGGCTCTTAAACAGAAGCCTGGGCATGCTGTGCAGCCTTGATGTGCCTCCTGCCATCTCTGGGCCTGTTTCCTCCTCCGAGACCATCACCACAGCCAGAGTTCTCGTGAGCAGGGTGGCTGCCCTGGTGACCTAGTGGCATCATGACAGAAGTGCCACAGAGGGTGGCTTCCTTCTGCCTACAGCAATTGCTCTCCTCACAGTTGTGCTCAGCAGGTTCGGCTCTGGCTGAGCACCAGCTCAGATGGCCAGGGAGGAAGGTCCTGCTGGTCTCCTGGTTGCTCTGAGCCGGTCATGTGATTTGCCATCAATCTCCCGTTTCTGCTTGTGTCCCACCTCTTTTATGACTCCCGCACACAGGACGACAGTCACTGGCCCAGGGAGGTTAGGAGACTGGGGGCCACATTCAATCCCCTACATTGGTGAGAGGGCTCGGGATAGACTGTAAAGAAAAGGCAGCAGAGTCACATGTCCTAAGAGCTAGCTATCAGCTCCTTCAGACATACCCCTTCCCCCCACTGCCAACCGAGTGCTGCTCCTTTAGCCAATGGCCGTGATCTGGGTCAGCTGTCCAGGGGAACTCAGAGGGTGATGGAAGAAACTCGAGGAAAGTGTCATTCAAGAAATGGTTTCAATAATTTAAAGGTTGCTGCCCAGAGTCCCACCTCCAGCTCCTCCAGGAACCATGCATCAAGGGCTGTTTAAACCAGGAAACCCTCCTGGCCTCGGGCTGGCCACACCGAGCCCCTGAGGAGGGACAGGACCTAGGGTCAGCTGTCATGTGCTGGCCCATACGGGCCACCATCGGTGCCTCTGTGAGTTCTGTGTTTCCCCAATCTTGCTTAAGGCACAGGGTTAGTGGCCCCTCAGAAGCTGCCCAGCAGCTGGTTGAGGCCCACAGCCCATCAGAAGTGGGGCAGCAACCCCACCCCGCGCACATCCGGCCTGAAGGCCACCTCTTGTGGCCACAAGCCACAGTACTTTCTAAAAATAGGGCTCCTCTGGGTAGGCGTCTGTGTGTGTGTGTGTGTGTGTGTGTGTGTATGTGTGTGGTGTTTCAGTTCGTTGATTATTGCCCCAAACCCTCGGGCTCGCTGACCAGGGGGGTCTCCTGAGGAAAGATTAGAGTAGCTAGAGGTGGTCACAGAACTTTGAGACCGTAACCCACTAGGGGGGGCTGGGTATGACTACCCCCATTTTATGGATGCCGGGCACTGAAGGGGTGGCAAGGGGGGCGGGGTGGGGGGAAGGCAACTGTTTGCCCAGGGCCACTCAGCCAACATGGACCTGGAGGCCAGGCCAGCCTATCTGTCTGTCCATGAGGCCCTAAGTCCTCAGTGGGTTCGGTCC